AGGCAACAGTCTTTTACAAAAGATGCAGAGCCAGCATGACTCAGCATGAGAAACAGCATAGCGTTCAAGCCAAAGGAACTGATCTAATACGGAGTCAGATTTGTTCTTTTCTATTACACTACCATATTTTTATTAGTCTCATTTATGGATGCCCCTTGTGGCAGCGGCAGCAGAGAGTGCTGCGTGGTGGAAGGAAACTTTCATCACATACAGAGGTGGCGAGATTGAGTGATCATGGTGAAAATTTCTCAACATGCTCCTGCAGGCTGAGGGTGGCCTGAGGTGAAACTTCCAAGGGAATTCCAGCACCCAAACCCGACCCTGCCTGGGCCAGGAGGTGCGCTGTGGAGGGGGGAACCCTTCCCCTCCCCAGCAGTCATACCTAGCCAGAGGATGTTTGAAAAGAAGTTTCCAGGTCTCTGGTGCAAAGAAATGCACATCAGGCAGGACAGTCGTGACGAGGCTACCCATGTGCTTGAGGGTCCAGCAACAGGTCCCTGCTGCCCAGAGATCCCGGTGAGTCCCCTCACTCTACTGCCTATTTTTTATGCAAATGGAAGAATATATATATATTTAATTGCAGTTTAGTTGATTTACAATGTTGTGTTAGTTTCTGGTGTGCAGCATAGTGATTCAGACACATATATTCTTTTCCATACTCTTTTTTCATTATAGATTATAACCAGATATTGAATATAGTTCTCTGTACTATACATTAGGACCTTGTTGTTTGTATCTGATAATCCCAAGCTCCTAATTTATCCCTCCCCAACCGTTTTCCCCTTTGGTAACTATAAGTTTGTTTTCTCTATCTGTGAGTCTGTTTGTTTTGTAAATAAATTCATTTGTATTTTTTTAAGATTACACCTATAACTGATATCATATGGTATTTTTCTTTCTGACTTACTTCATTTAGTGTAATAACTTCTAGGTCCATCCATGTTGCTGCAAATGGCATTATTTCATTATTTTTTTATTGGCTGAGTAGTATTCCAGTGTGTGTGTGTGTGTGTGTGTGTGTGTGTACACAACTTCTTTATCCAATCATCTGTCAATGAACATTTAGGTTGCTTCCACCTCTTGGCTATTGTAAAATTGTAATAGTGCTGCTACGAACATTGGAGTGCATGTATCTTTTCAAATTATAGTTTTATCCAGATATATGCCCAGGAATGGGATTGCTGGATCATACGGTAACTCTATTTTTAGTTTTTAAAGGAATCTCTGTGCCGTTTACAAACGGAAGTGTACTTATACAACATTCTGCACTAACAAACCTTAGCCATCTTTCCATATCAGCATATAGAATTTGACTTTTCAACCGCTGCAGAGATTGCATGTGTGGAAATTAACCTAACCCTTTGGGACAGATTTCATCATGTCAACGGGGCACTTGTCCTGCAAGGTGCAACCTGGTTTTTGCACAAGACCCCACAGAAGGCTGTTACCTTACCTGTTTTCTACTTTTAGATCCTTCACCTAGGAAATCTCACTCAAAAGGAAAATCAAGCAGGTGGATTCTCAAGGTTGGCCACAAAGTGTCAGGAAATCAGCTGTCTGCTTAAAATCAAACTCTGATCCCTTAAGATTAAGCATGCATACACCATCACAGCCACATAAGGCGTGAGACCGTTCCCCCTTCCATTCCCCCTTCCATTCCCCCATAAAGATCCACCTCGGAGGTTGGGGGTAGTTTATATAACTACAGCGACCTAGTGGGGGCTACCCAGTTCTGGGTCACAATGAGTCAGCCCTATTTTGTAAACTGTCGGTCTAGCATTGTGCCTAATTCCATTTAGTTATTTCGAGTTTTGCTTAAATCTTCTGGCTGGACTGCGAAGCCAAAACATTCTAGAGGAAGCAGCGCCACCGCGAGGCTAGCTACGGCGGAGGCGACAGTGAGGCGCGGGCGCAGGGCCCAGAATCTCCCCGCACGGAGATTCTCCCCGCCCACCTCGGGGCTTTGGGTTTGATTTCTTGTAAGCAACAGAAGCTTTTTTTTTTTTTTTCCCCCGACTCTTCTCTGTCAGTCAGCCAGCCCACTACGTCCTGGAACAGAAACGAGATCTCGCACTCATTTATGTGGCTCAGCGATTACTCAAGTGGGGTGGAGATAAGAGATACAATAAGCGCTCTCTAAACGGTAGAGAATTGAATGAAGATGTCCCAGTAAGCGTTCAGTGCTCCATAAACCAGGTTTAGGTTACGGTCCCCATTGGTTAGGTTACATACGCCAGTAGGTATGAGCTCTTGCGTCCAGGGCCTTTATTGATTAATTCGCCTGTGACGCGCCCAACTATTTATTCCGGTCCTTGGGAGTACCGGGTGGAGATGGGTAGGGAGTGCGTAGGCCGATTAGTCATGCAATAAGTGAAGTCCATCCAGGCCTAAGGTCTGGAACACTACAAGTTCCAGAATGCATCCTTTCATTAGCGTAGGGAAAGGTCGAGGTTGAGGGAGCATTGCCTTCTGGGAATTGTAGTCTTAAACTTGTTTGTGATGCAGGAGAAACCGGGGGGAAGGGGAGAGGGAGTAAACTATTAGCACGTGACGTCCGGGGTCAGGTGGTTGGGCCAGCCTCCGCGCAAGAGGTGTGATTGGCTGACTCTAATACGAACGACGCCACAAGGGGCGGGACGAAGAGGAGAGCAAGCGCACTGCGTTCCGAGTCTCGGGACCCTTTTCCGAGAGACTATGGCGCTCAACAAGAACCACTCGGAGGGCGGCGGAGTGATCGTCAACAACACCGAGAGGTGAAAACAATGCAGGAGGATCCTGGAGGACCGAAGGGCTGGGTGTGGGCGGTGGGCAGTGGGTGGTGAGGAATAAACCAGTGAAGAAGAGAAACTGATAGGGGTAAGGGGTTGGGGGGGGTAACGGCTGGGGGCGGGGCTGGAGGAAGGTGGGTGGGTCGTGAGGGAGGGGCCGGGATGTTGTGATCAGCCAGGGAATGGGGTGGGGCCGCTGGATGGGGCCGAGATTTGGAGAGACAGGTGGGGTCTGCGGGTAGTTTTTGAGCTCCTTTCCGAGAGTAGGTGACTTTAAGAAATGGGAAGAGCCTTAGGCAAAAATGATGGCCATTTATGGGTTTTTACTATGTTACTATATGTCAGGGACTGTACTTCGTCTTTCTTTTTCAATACGTAAATCCTGTGTGGAAGATACTATTCACATGTTCCGCGTAGAAAAAGTGAGGCACAGAGAGGTTAAGTAACTTGCGTGAGATCACAGAGCTGTAAGTAACAGAGATGGGATTCCAGGATAGGAGTCTTGTTTCCAAATTCAGTAGGCTTAACTGCCAGTATATAGCCTTCCAGAACAGCTCAGTTTTCAGATGAGGAACTGAGGCCCAGAGGTGAAATTGTACAGTTAATGTTTGTCAAGTATGTAACACATTTCCTGTAAAGGTGTAAAGGCCTGTCTTTGCCTCTTTCCCTTGAATTCCTGTTGGTTTGGTTCACTCCCTTGAGCAGAGGTCTCCCAACTTCCAAGTTCTTCCTGCCCACCCCGTCAGTTCTGTCTCTCCTCCTACATCTGGGCTCCTTGGACGACTTCTCTTGCTCCTCGGGCACTGAGAATCGGACCAGCCAGCCCTGGTTGAGCGATGCTGAGCCTAAAGCACCTCTTGAAGGCAGAAGGAACATCGCAGGAAGTGAATCCCCAGAGAAGACCCTGTGGGATCAGAGCTTAGTAGCTGATTAAGACAGTGCTCAGCCCAGGGCTGTCACCCGGGAATTCTTGATGAGTCAGAGAACACTCAGGGAGCCCCAGACCTCAGAATGCTGACTTTTCCTCCGTCGTACCTGCTCCGGGTCTGTAAGGCCAGCTTGTTCCCGATAATGACCTCTTTTCTCTGAGCTTGTCTTCTCTTTTCTGGTACTGGTCCTCCTTCCCGCTTACCCCTCCCCAGTGAAGGAAGTTGTGATATCTGGGAGGAGAAAGAAGACAAATGCAACCATATGAACTTGGACCTTGTCTTGTAATCAGAGACACGGGACATTGCTCCTGACATGTAGTCTCTGTGTGCAAGCCAGTCCAGGCCCCGACGAACCCTTTTGACGCTGTTTGGCAGTATCTCCTGGGACTGTTTCTTTTTCTCTCAGTGGGACTTTTCTGGGGCAAGACTGTATCTGTCCTGCTGGGCCTCCTGTGGCTTGGCTTAGGGCTTAGGGCTCAGTGCTGCTACATAATGATGTGCCTTGTTTTAGAAAATGCTTCAGCCTCATTTCTGAAATAACTGTGTAAACAGTGATTGAAGTTTACTTTCAGTACTTAAAATTTGATTTGTGAAATAGTTAACCTTATTCCCCAAGTCCTGAAACCCTTTGAGAGTGATGAAGGCTGTGGACTCTCCCAGGAAGATGCCGGTACACAGTCATCTCAAGGGCTCATGGACTGACAACCCCCCCCCAGACCTAGCTTAAGAACCCCAGGTTTAAAGGAACCCGTAAGTGAGTCCTTTTGTAATGTGTAGAGTCATGTCTTAAAATGTTCATTTTATGAGACTTAAAAAAACCAACCAACCAAAACCACACCTCTGGAAAAGGACCTGGAAGAAAATGGAAGGGTTAACCCGGATAATCTAAACTGATTCAGGGGATTATGGCATCCCCCGGGTCCTGCAGCTGCTCTTCTACTCTGGTCACTTAGGGGCTGTGTGGGTGGGGTTTGGGGAAATTCTATAGAACCCCAACATGCTAGTTGCTTCCGTGGCTTCCTTAATAGTTTCCTCCCAGCAGTGGTGAAACAGACAACATGCCGGCAGCTACTAATAAGCAGCTGTTCAGTGGGAGGATCCAGTCCCTGGAGGTGACAGGTCGTGACTCCAGCTGTCTCATCAGGGCCTTTCCTCTTTTTTCGTCACAGCATCCTAATGTCCTATGACCATGTAGAACTTACATTCAATGACATGAAAAACGTGCCAGAGGCCTTCAAGGGGACCAAGAAGGGCACCGTCTACCTTACCCCATACCGGGTGAGTTGTGCAGCGCGAAGGGGTTTTGGAGGCTCGTGGCTCCTGGAGGTTGATGAGAGTCTTAGGTCAGCCTCAGCCTCATGAGTCCAGTGGCCCCTGAACCCCAGTGAAAGTTAGCGTGGTTTTCTGTCACATGCTCCTAGTTCTAGGACCACCTGGCTCTTTGCGTGGGTGAATTGACCACTGGGCAGTGAATCCATGCAAATTCCAGAGCTGCTGCTGCAGAATCTCTGTGGAGAGTTGGATGCAGCTGTGGAGATGCAGACCTGGGCTTGGAGGGGAGAGGTGGCTTTTCTTTTGATTTCTGAAGTAGCCCACGAGGCCTTTGTGCACATCCAGGGTGATAAATGTGGTAAACAGGATACAAGAGCGTGGCCAGTCTCCGGACTGGGCAGAGAGCCCGGCAGAACCCTGCAGATCGAGAAGTGCCAGACTGCAGGATGGGCCTTGCCTGAGAGTTATCCAGGCAGGCTGAAAGACTTCCAGAGAAATACAAATGGATATTCTTGGAAAAGATGGCTGCCTGTGACTGCCCAAGAGCTAGACTTAAAGATGGTTGGAGGAAGAGGAGCACAGGCCTTAGTGGAGACGGGAGTCTCACAGCCTGAGCTCTGGGGGTTCTAGTTGGCATCTTCAGTCACAGATCGAAGTTGTGGGTGTAAAACAGAGGGTTCGCCATTCTAGGGTTGGGAGACTTGCTGGTGTTTGGGCCGTGAGCCCGCAAGAAGGTTAGGACAGCCGCTGCTCTCCGGACCTGAGGCCCCCTTCCATTCCCTTCTCTTAGTTCTGTGAAGCTCGGGCTGGACACCCCCTTCCGGAGTCCTTCCCCGCCTCCACCCTCGCCCCCCAGGCCCCTTCACTTCTGCTGCACATCCTCCACCTCCTCACCACCCCTCAGATGACAGAGCTCACACATGCTCTCTGTGAGCCACACGTTTTTCTTGTGAATTCACATATCTGGCCTCTCCAGCTCGGCTGCACGCGAGGCCTCGTACTCTACAAAGCACTCTGGCCTGGTGCCGAGAGTGCCCAGCCCGGTCCTGGGAGTGGACTCATCACACACCGGAAGTAATGGATGAATGGGCCCTGGTGCAGGGGGGTGATGGCTCTCGTCCTCGCTCCCTGCAGGTCATCTTCCTGTCCAAGGGGAAGGACGCCATGCAGTCCTTCATGATGCCATTTTATCTGATGAAGGACTGTGAGATCAAGCAGCCTGTGTTTGGGGCAAACTACATCAAGGGAACAGTGAAGGCCGAAGCAGGAGGTGGGTGACGGGGGTTTGGGGACACGGACGGGCTTCCAGAGAGGTGCGCTGGGGTGCCTCTGACTGCTGCCCGGGAGACATCCTCTTTGGATCCTTACCACCCTAGCCTTGTCCTCTTCCTGGCTCTGGATTAGCTTCTGAGACCAACACCTGGGCTGCCAGCTGTGCAGGCCAGCTGACTCAGGTGTTGCTGAGTGTGTCCGCTCCTGCGAAGCTGCTTTATTGGGGGTGGGAGGCCTGAGTGCACATGTGCCAACAAGGCTGGGGGAGGGAAGACAAGCTTGTTCTGAGAAGGAAAAGCCCCCAGTTCCAAACGGTGAAGCAGGCGTGGGCCGGAGGCGGGCCGGCCTGCAGCGCTGGTGGGCGATGTGGGTGGCCGCCAGAGCAGCCCTTCTCCCGCAGCTTCCCAGGCAGTGGGTAGGGTCTGGAGTGGACGAATTGCCATCTCTTTGGACGTAAGTCATGTTCTTCCCTGAGCTGTTGATGCACTGTTCCCTTCTCAGGTGGCTGGGAAGGCGCTGCATCGTACAAGTTGACCTTTATGGCAGGGGGTGCCATCGAATTTGGACAACGGATGCTACAGGTGGCATCTCAAGGTATCAGGGCTCTAAAAATTAGGAGCTGAGGACACATCGAATGTGTGTGGTGTTTCATTTTTTATTTTCGGTTCGTTTTTGTTTTGTTTTTGAAGCAGTCAAGAGATGAGTCTCTAACCGGGCTAGGAGATGGGGAGGAAGCCTGTAATTAGGATCAGCCTCCTGTCCCTCAAAGGCTGGGTTTCTCCTGCATGGAGCAGGTATAGAACATTTAGACAAAGCTGTTTAGACTCGAGGACATTTTACTGTGGCTTCAGAGAAACACACAATACCCTCACCATTAAGCTGCCATTAGGCAGCCATTTTAGGTCGCCTGGGATGTGTCCAGCAGACCTCCTCAGCTCGTCCCCAAACTCACCTAGCTCCATTCTTTACCCCATCCCTGAGCCTCCCTCCTTCCCTCCATCCACCGCCCCCTGCCTGTCCTTGACCTCCCCCACCCCAGCTCTGACCCCTCCCTTCATCCCTGACTGAGGCCAACTCAACCATGGGTGAGCAGCGGAGTGGGTAGGGTGAGGCACGTCTGCTGTGCACGTTCCTGGGACCCTGCAGCTCTGCTCGGCAGGCAGTGGGCCCGCCCTCTTTCCAGGCCCAAGGCAGGCGACACTCATTTCTCTCTCCCCTTGTGCTGTAGCCTCCCGAGGCGAAGCCCCCAACGGAGCCTATGGTTACTCTTACATGCCCAGCGGGGCCTATGTCTTCCCCCCCGCCAGTCGCCAATGGAATGTACCCCTGCCCTCCTGGCTACCCCTATCCACCGCCCCCACCTGGTGAGTGTGTCCTCTGCTGCCCACCCCTCACCCCACCCACCCACCCACTAACCACCCCCACCCAGGTCAGGGGGTCGAAGAGGGAAACTTGTTCTTTGACCTGCTCAGGACTGACGGGGAAGCTGGAGAGGCCTGGGAGGGAGCCCGGGCTGGGCTGCTCACTGGGTCCCTGTCACTCTCCTGCCAAGCAGAGTTCTATCCAGGACCTCCCATGATGGACGGAGCCATGGGATACGTGCAGCCCCCGCCACCACCCTACCCCGGGCCCATGGAGCCTCCGGTCAGTGGCCCCGATGTCCCCTCCACTTCTGCAGGTGAGGCTCCTGGGCTGCTTGCAGCCCTGGGGGAACTAGCCTTGTCCTCCCCATGGTTATACAGGAGCCCCAAATAATGAATGACTACTGGCCTAGGGACAATCCCAGGGGCCAGCCGCGTGGTGGCCTTGTGATGAAGAGCTAGATCCCAGCCCCCACTTTGTCCCTTAGCCACCTGTGTGCCCTGGGGCCAAGAAGGTCTCCTTCTGCACCTCAGTCTTGTCATCCACAGAATGTGCTAACAGTACCACCTGGTGGGTTTGTGGCAAAGCTCAGAAGGGGAGGTGGGTGTCAAGGGACTGGATGGGACAGTGTGGCCGCTGTAAGTGCTCAGGAAACGTTAGTCACTGTTCTTTTGATGAAACCGGGTCCTCAGCACTGAGGGGCTGGGGTCATGGGCCAAAAGCAGCTCCAGGGGCGGCTGGAGGAGGCGGGGAGGGTTGGTCTCTGGGGCTTATCCTGAGTGTGTGTGCTCTCGCAGCTGAAGCCAAGGCCGCAGAAGCAGCTGCCAGCGCCTATTACAACCCGGGCAACCCGCACAACGTCTACATGCCCACGGTGAGCGAGTGGCCACGTGCTGGAGGGACCCCCACCACTGCAGCTGGCTGGGGTTTAGGGGCGGGGGAAATCTTGTCTTATTTTGACCTTTCTAATGTGTTCTTTCTTTTCTCCCTTAGAACCAGCCTCCGCCACCGCCCTACTACCCCCCAGAAGATAAGAAGACCCAGTAGACCCCTCCCACCCCCTCCTCCCACCTCTCATCGCTCTTTCCTCCCCTCCCCTTGGGCTGAGTCTGGGGTGGGAGGTGATGGGAGAGCCTTGTCCTTCCTCCAGGTTTGATTATAAAACAGTTACCAGGAACTGTCTTTGAAGGAGGGGAAGGGCCCCTTGACTCGGGAGCGGCGCCTCCCAGCTTCCCACGCGAGCCCGGAACCCCCAGGCGCTTCCCTCCCCCCATCTCTGGGGGCGTCCCCCTTGTTCCTGTTTGGCTTCTACACACGGAGGGACTCTCTGGCCACCTCCTCCAGCAGTCCAGCCTCCTGTTTTGGTAGCGCCTTTATCCTCAGCCTCACGAGCTCCGTCAGACCAGCCACGTGTCTTCCCCGGGGCCCCTGCCAGGCCCTACTCACATTCCCCCCACTCTAATCTGTGCCTGGCTGTGAGAGGCCCCCTTCCTGCCGGACTGTCGGCCCACATTCCGTTCCCAGCCAGCCTCGGCCTCCGTCTCGCTCACCTTCCCTTCCCTGTCCTGTCCTGGTCATCCTGTTGCCACCACTTTTGACCTTTGGAGCTCTCCCCTGAGCTGCCGGGGCGGTGGCATCAGGGCCAGGCCCCTGCGACAGGGGAGGGAGCCTTTCTGCTTCCCTGCTAGTATTTCTGGAATTTGTTTCCCTTTGCCTTCTTGCTTTTCCCTCTAGAAGGGGCTTCTTGGACTGGAACTGGAGAGTGCATGTCCATTTGGAGGCTGCGGGGCAGGCGGGGAACACAGCACCTGATCCCTGGGGCCCGGCCAGGGTGCTGTCCGTGACCTCTCACCAGCCCCTCAGCCTGCCCCCTTCCCTTTGAGCTTCATGCCTGGTTGGCAGTATGCCCCCTGGACGCACTAAAATTTGCTCTCATTTGCTCCTGGACTGGCCTTCAAGTGAGGAGATGGTTATTTAAAGAGAATTCCCTATTTATTTGACCAAAAAAAATCCAGTTAATATATTAATGTGAAATAAACCCTGTTTGCACCTTGATTTGTCTGCTGAAAATGTGAACTAGTAAAAATGAAGTAACTGGACCCTGTCTGGCTCTGTGTGTGGTTATGGCCGAGGTGAGCTCTTGGGAAGGAGAGCTGTCTGGCTGCTGAGGGCTGGGGAGGCTCCCAGGAGACTCTGTTCCCTCCTGTGTGTGAGTCCCTTGTTCTCTTGGCCCATTTGGGCCCAAGATGCTAAGGCCTCTCCTGTGTCCATTCCACGGCAGTTGCTTGGCAACTGTGCCCACCGACTTAGTCTCCTGGGGCCTGGTGCGGCCCAGCAACTGTCCCTTGGTGGGAGGAGGCATTGAAGGCAGGGCCCAAGCTGGTCATGAGTTCCAGTGACCCTGGCCACTGTGCTCACTGCCTCACTTCATGGAGGTGGGACGGCGCCTCTGAAGCCTAGCGGGGGTGGGGCTGTCCCCTGCAGTGCGTGTTCTGGTGCCACTCCTCGTAAACATCAGTGCCTGGGCCAGGAGAGGGTGGGCAACAGCCACAGTCCATGCCCAGGCCTGCAGCCCTGGTGGCCCTGGCCTGGAGGACGGCCCTGGGCGTGGCGAGCTCAGAAAGCCCGGCACTGAAGGGTCCATTTTCCCGAACCTTCTGGACTAAGTGGCCCTGTCGGGACAGGCTAGGCAGCAGCCTCTCCCACTTCTTCCTTCTGGCCAGCCCCACCCAGCAGCTCCTGGGGTTGGCTAAACCCACTCCAAGGGCACTTGAAGGGAGTACCTTCCTGACCATCCTTGGGGCAGGGACTGTGGGGCCGTTCCTGACCGGCACAGCCTGGCCCTGTCACCTTTGTGGAATGTCACCTGTAGGGCTGAGCAGGTTGAGCAGTTGGCTGACTGCTGCGCTGCTGGGAGACGCCTCTCTGGAGCTGGCACACTGCCCTGCCCACCACTGCCAATCCTGGGTCTTGGGCCTGTTCAGGGACAGCTGTGGGTGAGACCCCCCCACCAGCTAGGTCAGCTTCCCGCAGTTCCCTGCCCAGCCGGCACACACCTGGGATGGGGCAGGGCTGCTACCTGCTTGCCCTGATGCCCCCTGCTGGGCAGCGCGGGGCGGGGGGGGGGCGCCTACCCAGGGCCTCTGTGGGAGGGTGGGGTGGGGCCAGGCCCGCCCACTGGGTCTACCTTCTGCCTCTAGCCCAGACCAGTTCCTCCCAGGATCCAGTATCTGGCCAGCAGGAGGCAGGAAGGTGCAGGGGCCTGGGAGCTGGCCCCGAGGTGGTGAAACACTGACCTGACCCTCCCTGGACTCACCCTTCCTTCCCCCTCCCTGGGGACGGGGTGGCAGCCCTGGGCTCCTTGCCTAATCCTGTGGTTTTGCTATCTTCACCCAGCGGCACGGCGGAGGGGACGGGCAGAGCTGGCCACCATGGCGACGCTCTTCTCCCACCCCCAGCGGCGCCCTCCCCTCTTGCGCCAGGCCATCAAGATAAGGCGCCGCAGGGTCAGAGATGTGCAGGAGCCTCTGCCCCTGAGGGCTCAGGAGGTAGGAGTGACCTCAGTGGGAGAAGAGTGGGCCTGGGTGGGGCTCTGCCATCTCTGGGTATGGGGCCCCACCTCCTGTGGGCTGCTGCTAAGGATGTGGTCCCTTCCCGTGCCCACCCCAACCCCCAGGCAGAGCTTTCTGGGTTGGCAGGGTGGGGTCTGCCATGTTTTCTCTGGGCCACCCTGGGCCTCAGGTCTTGGGATCTGAGCCCACCCCTCCCCCACCCTCTGCCCCTCCAACTCCAAAGTCACCCGCTCCCTGAGGCTGGGAGTGTCCCTGCTGTGGGTTGGTCTTTGGGGGATCAGCTGAGCAGCCCCTAGGCCTGCTTGGCATGACCCCTCGTCTCCCACCTCTGCTGCTGGGCCTCACTTCCGCCGCCGGGGTGTGGAGCGGGGCGGCCGATAAGCAGGGCTGTTTCCTCTGGGGGAAGGAAGGGAGGTTGGGGCCGTGGTGCCGCGAGCTCACGCTGCTGGGCAGCTGAGCACCAATGGACCTGAGCCGTGGCAGGCCAGGGGACAAGGAGGGTGGCCCGGGGGCCGGACTCCCAGAAGGCTTGCTGTGGGAACAGGTGTGCGGCACTGGTGGGACTGGAGGCCGGATGCTGGGGCCCCCTCAGCCCTCAGCCTGGTCCTGCTGTGAGGAGCCATTCAGGCGTAGAAGCCCTGGTCCAGGCCTCTGAGACACTTCGTTTTTTTATCTTGTTCCCCAGATCAAGCCTCCGTCCCACCACTTAACCCCTGAGGAGGTAAGAATTGGAGTGCTGGGGCGGTGGGGGGGCACAGAACGGTGCTGGGAAGCAGCTGGGCCTCACCCCCTCCCTTCCCTGTGTGTGTGGATGCCTTGTCCCAGCTTTGGGCATGTGCTGTGGGTGCCAGGGGTGGCTGGTGGGGCTCAGACCTTGTTGTGGGTGGATGGGGGTTCCCGAGGTGACCCTGCTGTTGTCTCAGCGGGCCCTGCTCTACGAGGAAGCGCTCTACACTGTCCTGCACCGCCTGGGTCAGCCTGAGCCCAACCATGTGGTGGAGTCCTCGGAGCTGCTGCGATACCTGCAGGAGGTGAGCCCAGCCCCCACCCCACCCGCCTTCCTGCAGCCTGGCCTTTGCAGTCTTCTCTTCCTGGCCTGGCCACTCCCATCCTGTGTCCCAAGCTTCCCATGTTCCTACCCGGCCAGGCCTTCCACATGGAGCCTGAGGAGCACCAGCAGATGCTGCAGCAGGTCCGGCAGCTCGAGGTAAGCCTGCCAGGGCCGTCCTGGGCAAGGACGGGGACTGGGAAGTCCAGCTGCCTCTGAGACTCAGGCCCCACCTCTCGTCCCTCCAGAAGCCAATATTTTGTCTGAAGGCGACAGTGAAACAAGCCAAGGGCATTCTGGGCAAGGATGTCAGTGGTGAGTAAGTGACAGGGGGCCCTGAGGGCCTTCTTCCTGGCTTCCTCCTCTCCCCATCACAGCCTGCCCCAGACCTCTTGGTGGGAGCTCCCATCTCCTAAACATCCCCTGGGGCTCACCTCGGAGCTGCTGGGATGGGGAGAGGCTCTCCCCACTGCCCTGGGTAGCGGGCAATAAGGACTCTCCGTGGGAGCCCAGCCCTGGCTGCCTCATCCTCCCCGTCCTCCCTAGGGTTTAGTGACCCCTACTGCCTGCTGGGCATCGAACAGGGGGTGGGCGTGCCGGGGGGCAGCCCTGGGCCCCGGCGTCAGCAGAAGGCTGTGGTGAGACACACCATCCCGGAGGAGCAGACCCACCGCACCCAGGTCATCACCCAGACACTCAACCCCGTCTGGAACGAGACCTTCATCCTGTACGTGGCCCTAACCTAGCCCTCGCCTCTTCTGGTCGTCTGGGACTACTCCGGGTGGTGGGAGTCAATAGGACTCCTGGCTCAGGGGAGGGGCTTGGCTTGCCCGGAGAAGGAGCCTGCTCCCAAAGCAGGGGGGACAGACAGGAGGCCAGACTGGACAGAACAGTGGCATCAGACACATCTGGTTTGATCTGGGGGGTAGCGTGAAACCTTACCTTAAAGGAGGACGAGGTGCAGCTGGGAGGGGTGGAGGAGTCTGTAGGGAGGGACTAAGACTTGACAGTGGGTGATAAGGGAGATGGCAGCTTTGGAGGACAGGCTCAGGGATGGGTAGACTGTGGCCTGGTCAGGGAATCTAGCCCTCCAAGACCCTCAGCCATGCCCTTTTCTCCCTACAGAGAGTTTGAGGACATAAGCAATGCCAGCTTTCATCTGGACATGTGGTGAGGGGCGTGTCCTGCCCGTAGGGGTGGGGAAGAGGAGGGGATTGGGGGTGAGGGTTGCAGAGGTTCCTCCTAAAGGGGTCAGGGGACCCCAGAACACCCTCCTTGCCTCTCGCTCAAGCCTTTGCCCCACCAGGGACCTGGACTCCGTGGAGTCTGTCAGACAGAAGCTCGGGGAGCTCACAGATCTGCATGGGCTGCGAAGGTGAGAGCTAGGGGATTCCTGGGAAGGGGCTGGGTCCCCTCTGTCCTCCCCGGCACATGCGCACTGGTGCTGGGCTGCAGGATCTGCAGATGGAGGCTGGATCCCAGCCTGACCCCTTCAGGCTCATGTCTCATCTCCCTCATGGGACCCTGCCTGGAACAGGATCTTTAAGGAGGCTCGGAAGGACAAAGGCCAGGACGACTTTCTGGGGAACGTGGTTTTGAGACTACAGGTGAGTCGGATAGGGAAAGGTTCCCAGGAGAGAGGCAGAAAGGGGGTTATGAGGGGTCCAAGGAAGTGGTTCCAGTTCTGCACCAAGCAGAGCCGGGGGTCTGCCTCCCATTGCCTCCCCTGCCCCTGACTGTGTGAGGCTCCTGTTGCTCCTGGGCTTGGGCATCTCCTGCCTGCCTGGCCTCCCAGGACCTGCGCTGCCGGGAGGATCAATGGTACCCTCTGGAGCCTTGCACGGAAACGTACCCAGACCGCGGTCAGTGCCACCTCCAGTTCCAGTTCATTCACAAGCGGGTAGGTGGCCCGGCTGGGTTGGGAGGATGGGCTGCACTGGGCGTGGGGTCCTCTGTTCACAGCCATGCTGGCCCCCCTGCAGAGAGCCACTGCGGCCAGCCGCTCCCAGCCCAGCTACACAGTGCACCTCCACCTGCTGCAGCAGCTCGTGTCCCACGAGGTCACCCAGCACCAGGTAGTGCCCTCCTAGGGCTGGGCAGGGCCAGGGTCTGCCTGCCAGGTCTTGACACCCTTCTACCTGTCCCTCTAGGCAGGCAGTACCTCCTGGGATGGGTTGCTGAGTCCACAGGCTGCCACCATCCTCTTCCTCCATGCCACGCAGAAGGACCTGTCTGACTTCCACCGGTCCATGGCGTGAGTGCATGGCCCAGCCAGAGCACCTGAGGGCTGTCTGTGCTGAACCACCCTCTCCCTCCCTGCCTGCCCTCCTCCAAGCTGACAGCCCAAAGTCTAATCCTCAAGAGATTTCTGTTTGGGGCCCAAACTGTGGGTTTTAAGTTTTGAGTCACTTGCCAGCTTTTAAAAATCTGGCGCTTTGCCTTGTGGATTCACATCTCCAGCGTCTCGCGATATATTAGTCCTGGAACTGCAGGGCTGCAGTCGGTCAGAGCAGAGTAGTGCGACCTCCTCCATCCATCACTTCACTCCCTGACATCACCTGAGTCCTGGGCACCTGAGTTTGCCACCCTGGGCCCAGTTTCCAGGGCCATCAAACAAATCTGTGCTCTGACGCTCCTGAATCTGTGGTGAGGGCCTGTCACGTCCCCAGAGCCACGTTAGGTTATGGGAATTTTGGGAATGGCACACAGGAGTTCAATGCCCAGGAGAAGTAGGGGTGCAGCCTAGGGGGCTGCCAGGAGGAGGCGTGAGAGTGGATGCTGCCCTGGGCCTGGCTGACAGTTGGATTTGAGTAGGGGGTCGAAAGGAGGCTGGCGGAGGAGGGCAGCTTGTAGGACTGTGGGCAGGTGGGTATTCCTAGATAGCTGAGGGGATGTAGGTGAGGCTGGAGACTGGCGCAAGTGCTGATGGTGAGGACCTCGTTTGCCTGTAGGGCCCCAGAAGGTAGTGCAAGTGGCCGTCATGTCCCAGCGCGGGGTTACCTTCAATCACTGGTTTTCAGCCTCTGCGGGTTGATAGGATCCCCAGGAGGCTGTGGAGCAGGGGGAGGCGCTGTGTCTGCCCCCACCTGGCCGGGCTGAGGGCTTCCTGTCTGCCACAGGCAGTGGCTGGCCTACAGCCGTCTCTACCAGAGCCTGGAGTTCCCCAGCAGCTGCCTCCTGAAACCCATCACCAGCATTGAGTACCAGTGGATCCAGGGCCGGCTCAAGGAAGAGCAGGTGGGCTGAGGTGGGGCTGGGGTGCGGGGCCAGTGGGGCTCAGGGGGTGACAGCAGCTCCCACCTCATGGCATCTTCCTGGCCCTGCAGCTGGAGGAGCTGGCCACCTCGTTCAACTCCCTGCTGGCCTATGGCCTCTCCCTCATCCGGAGGTTCCGGTCTGTCTTCCCCCTCTCCGTCTCCGACTCCCCAGCCCGCCTGCAGTCTCTCCTTAGGTCGGTGGGGTCAGGGACAGGGGAGCAGCTGGGGCACCTCCGGGGTGTGGAAGCCTGCTTGGAGGAGTGAGTGGGGGCTCTGGGGCAATAGGCATCTTGGACACGGCTTTCTGTCCCCACAGGGTCCTGGTGCAGATGTGCAAGATGAAGGCCTTTGGAGAACTGTGCCCCAGCAGCACCCCACTGCCCCGCCTGGTGACCGAGGCGCTGCGGGTATGGTGCCCACGCTATGGGTGGAGAGGGCAAGTGCCTGGGCCTGGCAACCCTCCCTGCTCACTGACTCTCTGCCCGCAGGCTGGCACGGTTGAATGGTTCCACCTGAAGCAGCAGCACCATCAGCCCATGGTGCAGGTGAGGGGGAGGCTGGGGCAAGGTGCTGGGTGGTGGGAGGGGGTAGCTGCCTGCCCCTCGAAGCCCTGCGCAGCTCACCTCTGTCCCTGCCAGGGTATGCTGGAGGCGGGCCAGGCCTTGCTGAGCCTGGTACAGGACATCACTGGTGACCTACACCAGTGCCAGCGCACGTGGAACAAGATCTTCCTTAAGTGAGCAGGAGGCCGGGTTGGGAGGCAGTACGGCAGGGGCTCACAGTGGGGACCAGAGGAACCCCGGTGTGTGCAGCCAGGTCATGCCTGCTGCCTTTCCTCCAGTGTCCTCAAGATCGACCTCTTCTCCTTGGCCTTCCTGGAGCTGCAGTGGCTGGTGAGGCTCCCCAGGCGCTCAGCTCTCCAGGCCTCGCCCTCTGCACTGGCTCTGGAGCTCCGCCCACCACGCCTTCCCTTCGCAGGTGGCCAAGCGGGTGCAGGACCACACGGCGGCAGTGGGCAACTCCATGTCCCCAGAGGTGGGCGAGAGTCTGTTCCAGCTCTACATCAGTGTCAAGGAGCTCTGCCAGCTGGGCCCTGTCCCCACAGAGAGGTGGGCAGCAGGCCTGCTGTGGGGAGGGAAGGGCCTGCAGCCTGCAGGGGCCCCGGCCTTCCCCAGACTGACCCTGGCTCTCCCTAGGGATGGAGTTCTGGCCCTGGATGGCTTCCACCGCTGGTTCCAGCTAGCCATCCCCTCCTGGCTGCAGAAGACGTATAGTGTGGCCCTGGCGCGGGTGCAGCGTGCTGTACAGATGGACGAGGTGGGGCCTGGACTAGGGGCGGAATCCCAGCTTTGGGAATGTGGCCTGGGGCTCTGCGGGACCTTTAGAGTGTGCAGAAGAGGGTGACTGGCCTTAAGTGGTCCTCTTGAGGCCAGTTGTGTGCAAACCACGGCCTCCTGTTATACTCGGGGTAAACTATGGGTTCCCTTTACAGGCTGATCCTTGCAGCCTGGTGTTGGGGGCTGGGCAGAGCCTGGCTTGTTCACCTTGCAGCCCCCTGCCCAGCTCTGTGCTTGCTGGTGGTAGGGGCTCTGGATGCTTGAGGATGGAAGGAGGGAGGGAGGGGCATGGATTTGGCAAGCCCTGAGCCCTCCTTTCTGCATTCTCCCCCATCTCCCAGCTGGTGCCCCTGGGTGAATTGACCAAGCATAGCACATCAGCTGTGGATCTGTCCACCTGCTTTGCCCAGATCAGCCACACTGCCCGGCAGCTGGACTGGCCCGACCCAGAGGAGGCCTTCATGATCACTGTCAAGTTCGTGGAGGTGCAGCCTCGTTCCCACCCCACCACTTCTGCCAAGTTCTCACCCTAGCAGCCTGCAAAGGCCTATGTCCTAAATCCCCCAAGAAACTGAGATTTCTGTGCCTCCCCTATTGGCCACTCCTGGGACCCCCCTCCAATGGTCATTCCCTCCCTATCCCAGGACACCTGTCGGCTGGCCCTGGTGTACTGCAGCCTTATAAAAGCCCGGGCCCGTGAGCTCTCTGCAGGCCAGAAGGACCAAGGCCAGGCGGCCAACATGGTGAGGGCCAGAGCTGGGGGCTGGGGCCAGGCCGGGGTGGGATGCAGCCTGCAGTCCTGGCACTGTTCAGGAAGCTCTGCATCCTTGTGCCCGTGCCTGCCTGCAGCTGTGTGTGGTGGTGAATGACATGGAGCAGCTGCGGCTGGTGATTGGCAAACTGCCCACCCAGCTGGCATGGGAGGCGCTGGAGCAGCGCGTGGGTGCTGTGCTGGAGGAGGGGCAGCTGCAGAACACGCTGCACGCCCAGCTGCAGGGCGCACTGGCTGGGCTGGGCCACGAGATCCGCACTGGCGTCCGGACCTTGGCCGAGCAGGTACCCGGTTTGAACCACAGTGACCCCACCCCACCCATGCTCATCCTGTAGTCCCCTCAGTGGGACTTGGGCCAATATCTAGCCTCCTCTTCTGCCTGAACCTGAACTCAAGCCCTAAACAACCTCTCCTGACTCTTGACTCACACCCTGGCTTCCTTCCTACCATTTTGTGTCTCCAGCTGGAGGTGGGCATTGCCAAGCACATCCAGAAACTCGTGGGCATCAAGGAGTCCGTCCTGCCTGAGGATGTGAGTGGCCCTCCCTGCTCGCTGACCTTTGCCAGCTCTGTGGGTCTCAGATTGCCAAGGGGCTTAGGGTGGGCAGGGGGCTGAGGGCCATGGGGTGTCAGAGACAAGTCCCCCAGACTTAGGCAAGAAATGTTCCCTCCTGAGCCTTGGTTTCCTCCTTGGATGCTAAGAGGGTAGAGTTGGGTCACTCCACGGCCTCTCCCAGCACTGATAGTCGGTGTGGGGGCTGCACTGGGGGAGGCTTGGGCTTTGCAGCCAAGCAGACCTGGGCCTGCATCCTTCTCAGCTGCCTGCTAGCATAGCTGTCCCGGTTACACAGGCCAGGTGATTTCAGTTTCCTCCTCTGTCAGCGGGCATAGCGATGTACACCTTTGATTGTTTGGAAGAATGTTACTGGTAAATTAATCAACTTTTTAAGCATCTACTTTGTTTCAGGCATTGATTTAGACGCTGAGGGTTTATATCAATGAATACCCGTGACAAAAACCCCTGCCTTCCTAGAGTTTACATTCTAGTAGGGGATGTGGAAAAAGAGCTAAGTATATGTAACTAGAACTATAGCTGTAACTGGAACTATACGAATATGTGTGTGTGTATGAACATATATGTGTATATGAACTTATATATGTACATACATACACATATGGTATGTTAGATAATCATAACCACTAAAGAGAAAAATTAAACACGCAAGGGAGTGGAAAGGGTGAGAGGGCTGTGTTTTTAGATAGTGGCCAGAGAAGGCCTTAGTCCGAGGGTGACCGCTGAGTCAAGATCTAAAGGAAGCAGGAGGAGCCATGAGAATTGCTCCAGGAGGGGACAGCATGGGCAAAGGCCCTGAGGCAGATCCATGCCTGGCAGGGGTCAGCTCCTCAGACATTCCAAAGATGCTCACAGAAGCTCCTGGCCCTGTTTCCTCCCCTGGTCAGGGCAAGGAGGTAGGGGTGGGACCAGAATGGGCCAGAGCCAGATGTGCTGCCACCTCTCCCCAGGCCATTCTGCCCCTGATGAAGTTCCTGGAGGTGGAGCTCCACTACATGAACACCAACTTGGTGAAGGAGAACTTCAGCAGGTCTGCAGCAGCCTCCTGCCCCACGGTGCCCCACCTGCCCCGCAGTGCCCCACCTGCTCCACTTCTCCTCCCACCCACCCCTTCTTCCCGGCCTCAGCATCCATCCTTGGGTTGGGGGGATGCTACCAGCCTCTCAGATTCTCACTCCCAGGGACAGGGTGCTGATGACCTCAGAAGCCTGTCCATTTCACCAGAGGCTGAGCTGAAACCTGCCTGTCCTCTCTCTCTTAGCCCTGAGCCGTCTCTGGGAGACTGCAGCTCTGCCCTCCCTAACATTATAGGCAGCTGCTATTTCTCTCCCACCATCCAGGGCACCTTTTAGTTAGGGTCTCTCTTAAAGCAGGGCCCAACACACTGGGCAGCAGAGGGTAGAGGTCAAGGGCTTGGGCTCTGAATAACCTGGATTCAGACTCCAGCTTCACTGCTGGCTGCTTGGTGGGTGGCCTGGAGCAGATTCCTCAAGGTTTCTGTGCAGATGATCGTAGTTCTGGCCTCTGATGAGGACTAAATGAGTCACTTGAAGTGCTGAGAGCAGTGCCTGCTACAAAGGAAGTGGTCGATGACTGCGAGCTGCCATGAGAATGGTGGCAGTGACGATGACCCCTGATGACAGGGCCACCATGTGGGCTCTGGGCCCCAGAAGGCTGCAGGCCCCGGCCAGAGTTCTACTCCACTCCCACTGGGGCAGCGGGGCCGCGGGAGCCCACCTTCTTTATTTGCTAGGCCAGAGTATGCCGTTTGTTCAGCTCTGACTTTCACACAAAAGAGCTTAATCTCCACTAAGATAGGAGCTTTACGAACCACTTCCTCAGAAACTGTTAGAACAGTGTCTGGTGCATGATGGACACTTCAGTGCTCATTACACTTGACTAAATTAACTGCCTCTAACATAGACCGTCCCTGTTTTCTTTTTTTTCTTCTTTTTTCTCTCTTTTCTTTTTTCTAGACTGTCCCTATTCTTTTTTTTACATTTTTTATTGATTCATAATCATTTTACAGTGTTGTGTCAAATTCCAGTGTTCAGCACAATTTTTCAGTCATTCATGGACATATACACACTCATTGTCACATTTTTTTCTCTGTGATTTATCATAACATTTTGTGTAGATTTCCCTGTGCTATACAGTGTAGTCTTGTTTATCTATTCTACAATTTTGAAATCCCAGTCTATCCCTTCCCATCCTCTACCCCCCCCAGTAACCACAAGTCTGTATTCTCTGTCCATGAGTCTATTTCTGTCCGGTATTTATGCTTTGTTTTTGTTTGTTTGTTTGTTTTTGTTTTTTAGATTCCATATATGAGCGATCTCATATGGTATTTTTCTTTCTCTTTCTGGCTTGTG